ATATATATATGCGCGCGCACGCACGCCATTGTGCACGCCATTGACTGATTAGTGATTTTAGCGACACGCGTGAGAGTGTGAACAAGGCAAGTCAGACTGTCTTGGCAAAAGTTTTAAAATGTAATAAATTCAGGGGAGAAAAACCCTGTTTAGTAAAACTTTCTTTGTGTTCCACATCAAAACAAAAAGAAGTATTTAGAAAATGATTTCTCATGCTGAACTTTTCCCTTTAACCCTTTTCTTTCCTTGGAGAGATGCGGTTTAAACTTTTTAGTTTTAGTGAACTTTACTTCAGCTTAAATATGATATGTGATCACCCGGAGACATTACTGCTTCAGCTACAATCTATAAATCTACGGCAGGCATTCTGTCAACTTTGGCAACCAACATTGATCCCTGGCAGCCAGCCTGGCAACCATTTCTAAAAGTTGCTGCCGGGGGCTTTCTGGTTTCATTCCATTCTCTGACTCTACACATGAACCAGAAGGCAGCGGAGTGAAGCCGATGCACAGCAGTAGTTTAGAAAGTGGAAGACTGACATTTTAAAGGCGGAAGAGAAGATCACTAGTTTTCATGGTATGAATAAGAAATGCGTTTCCAGGTATTTATTTATGTTTAATATTGCTCCTCATATTCCGTTGTGCCATCAATATGTTTTCTGCTGGCTGGCACACACTCGTCATAATGATGAAATTAATTCAAGTCATTGCAAACAATCTAAATTCTGTCTGGATTCAGCTCTTCACATTTCACATTCTAGTAACAGTGTGTGTGTAGTAATGAGAGGTTTTGCATAAATACTTTTGATTGACTTTACTACTCGCACTTTATCACACACTTGGTGCAACACATAAAAGCACAATCTGCAAATATTCACACTCTTAAATTACACACTTTCTACTTCATGAACTGGTGTTGATAGGTTTGTTTATCCATGTGGATAAATATATGATAAATATACAGTCATGTGACATTTACATTGTATGTCACTGGTCACATCATGCCTTTGCTTTTTGTTTCACACTACTGGAGATAATTTGTAGGTTTTTGTTTTGTTAGTTGTTTTTTTTTTTTACATTAATGTTATTAGATTCATCTAATATGAATATGGTGCTAGTTTTTAAGCAGTATATTTAACCATTGCTTATTTCCTGGTTTGCATCTTTTTAAGCTTGGTTTTGCAGAATTATAGCTTTAGTCTACTTACTGCCTAAAGCTGCTTAAAACTAACTGGTGCACCAGCTGGCTGTTGGGGAAAAAAAACGTCATTAGTGACACTTAATAGAAAGAAGAATGAGAACTTGTGTGTATGATTTTATAGTTTGGTATATGGTTTCATAGTCAGGCAGGGCTTCCGGAAGTGTCTTAGGAACAAAACCCTGTTCCAGAGAGTGTGAGTGCTATTGTTGAGAGGTGGGTGAGGCAGATTGCAGCAACACTGACACAGGTTGGCAGCTTGCTAATTAGGAAGTCGGCTAATCAGAACACAGTTGATAAAAAAAGTGCCTAGAAAGACTGCATTGGCCTTTATCACTCTGCAAAATATCTACAGTCTGTGAACACTATTGAATAGATAATGCAAGAAAATTCTTCAATGGGAAGAGGCGAGATTCTGAATTAGACTTGAAATACCAAGAACAAATTTAGACCCAAACAAAGCGCTTTGAAATCCATAAATCTGAGCACCTGAGCGGAGTAATCCTTTATTCACTGGTATTGATCAACAACTCCATACGCCCCTCAGATCTATTAAGACTATTTCCTGCTGTGCTACATAATGTTCCTTTTTCAAAAGTTAGTCTTCCAGCAGATAAAACCCCATGCAGCAGCATGCTTTTAAATCCACTTCCACACTACAGTTCTGTCCTATATACTCTATTATTGGATTTCACTGTCTATTCTGATACGTTTCTATGTATTGATACACACAGTACTGCTATTTAGTCTTCAGTTTCCTGGATGACTGTGCCTCTGATATTTTGGCGTCATCATTCCATAATACACGTCTGCTTTTTTTCTCATACAAACCACATACATGCATGCATTCATATGGATATTCGCAGTCACACAGCCCTATAGATGCAGCTCTGATCTCTGAGCATGTTGCTGTGTTGTTCATAGTTCCTCGCGTCTTTTAACGGCAGCGTCTACTAGCACAGTTTCACCAAATCCTCAAGATTCTGTGGTGTTCACATGTCACAGTTGTAGCTTTAAAACCCATATTCCCCCCCACCCCTTCAGTGTGTCATCTGCAAAAGATATTACATATCCAGTGCTATCTGCTGAGTTTGGCAGAGTGCAGTTTTGTGTCGCCGTGCTCTGATTTATATTGTTGATGTAAGTCCTTCCAAAGCCATTTCAATCTGTTGTCTGATGAGTGCCCTTAATCATCACATTTCACCAGGCGCCATGAAACAGTCAAGAGTCCTTGTGGCTGAAGTTCTCTTGTCTCGTTTCAAATGCGTGGTCCGTTTTTAAGAAATTGAGGCGCACCGAAAGCTGTGAAATGGTGTGTTTTTATACTGAACTCCACTCATTCTGGTCCCCTTTTCTTTAGCACTCTCACTGCAGAGTGGGAGCAAAGTAGAAGCCATGCAACTTGTACCTGAGACCTGCTCTCTGAATCAGCCAGCTGCCTGTAAACCAATATCATTATCCTGCTGTTAGGCCTGAGCTTTTTGCCAAGTCTTAACATGTCTGTCTCAACAAGAACCAACAGCATAAAGATTTTATCTTCAGCCAGATGATGCTTCCAATGTAGTAAATCATATTTTGTTCTTGGCTCTAAAGCAGCTACCAGTGTGATGCGATTCCATCTAATATAGGACATTTCTTCCTCCTTATTATGTTAGTTTCTGGATATTTCTAAAAGTTAAATTTTCTTTATATTATAATCAACTAATTATACATTTGTAATGATGGAAAAACAAATCTAATGTAACATTTATTTCCATCCGTGTTCACAGGACCTCATTGTGTCGTGTGTT